CAGCTGGGATATAATGAAAGCATGAATCGCTCGTTCAAAGTTTTTAAGATAAAAATGATCTCACCTTAGATAAAAGCCTAAGTTTGAAGAAAGACCGCTGTACAACTGAGCTAATTTATTTTTCAAAGGTGAAATTGCTGTCAAATATAACCCCCAAATTTTTGGCATGTGATTTGACAAAAGGCTCAAGACTGTGCAGGTTAAAATTAGAAGTGTTGGGATTGCTGCTTGGTCCACAAATTATCACTTCGGTTTTGTTCTCATTGAAGTAAAGGAAATTAGAGGCCATCCAGGATTTAACTTCACCGAGACACTGAAGTAAGGGTTCTAGTGAGGCAGAACTATTTCCCTTCAGTTGAAGATAGATCTGAGTATCATCGGCGTACGAATGAAAACAAATGTTATATTTTCTAAAAATTAGACCTAAAGGCAGCATATAAATGGAGAACAATCAAGGGCCCAACCCATCCCGGTCACAGATTTTTCCATCAGGGAAGAGATATAGGGCAATCAGAACCCGCACAAACAGACTAAACAACAGCTTTTTCCCCAGAGCTGTAGCCTGTATCACCCCTCCCCCAGCACACAATAGCTAACTCTCCCTCTCTCTACTTTACCCCTGTCGAGTGAAGGCTGCGTGCAGGCAGGAATGGTAGGAGGAGGACCCAAAGTGCAGACAGTTTTAGACAAAAGGTGAACTTAAACTCAGATTTATTGCTAGATGGCAAACAGAGAACTAACAAAACTGGGAATACTAATAATAAACTGAAGACAACAATAACCTGAACTGGCAAACGGACAGAACACACAGCAAGATGAGAGTAGATCACGACACGGACACAGAGAAACACAGCGCTTAAATACCCAGAGGGAGCAATCAGGGAATATGTAACAGGAGGGAAACACAGCTGGGGCAAATCAGGCCTAACGAGACAAGGGGAAGCGAAACCAGATACATTAACATCAGACATGGACCTTCAAAATAAAACAGGAAACATAACACAGACTGAACTAAAGACAGACTCACAGGCAGGCACTGCAACAGAGGGAACAGAGACGTGGGACCAGGACAGACAAACACAGACTGGACACGGGGATATCGCAGACAGGGGAGACAGCAACTAAGGATTACACAGAGACAAACCATAAGACATAACGAAGAAACCAAAGAATAGAAATGATAATACAATAAACTCAAAACCCTGGGTCAACGACCCAGGCATCCTAATAACCCCATGTCATGTCTGCTGCTAATGTACAAAGTCATTTACTGGGCATTAATGTTTGTACTGAATTACCACACTGTAGATACTGTTATATTATATTATACCGTTTGCGGTCAAACGAACATATTCTAAATACTAGCATTTCTTTTTTGTTTTATTTACTGTGCTAAGTGCCTTCTTTTTACTTTATATTTTACTACGTTTCCTTGGTTATTATGTTACTATGCTGCTTCTGGTTTTATTGCTGCTGGCCTCTGTGAGCTACCAAACAAATTTTGCTGTATAACTACAATGACAATAAAGTTCTTTATCTTTCTTATCTAGAAATCAGAATATTTGTAGGAAGGCCAAAAACTGCCCAACAGATTTACTTTCCCAGAGTGGACCATTATGGCATTTGCTATATTGGTCAACTTGGACAAGACCTGGGAGCAGAAAAGAAAAAGAATAAATAGAAATTGTGGTTAAAGCTAACAGAAGAAGAGGGAAAGAAATGTAGAGCAGAAGAAAAGGGAGTGAGAGAAAACAAAAAAAACACTGAAACTCTGCTTCAAAACCTGCTGAAAAAAATGAAGAAAAAAACAGCAGAAAAATCAAATCTACAACCAACATATGAAAAGAAGCAGTAAATAATAATAAATAATACATGTTAATGAACAGCACACAGTACTAACAATACCACATACATCTAGAGGCAGTAGCCAACCGAGACAGCGTGAGTCTGAGTACCTGCTTGTACAGCTGTGTGGGTGTGCGTGCTTGTATTGAAAGGTTAAAACACAATGGCCATGAAGGACATTGTTTAATGGATTTGAGTTTCATATTTCCGTTTCCAGAGTTTCAAGCTTTGCAGTGTTATTTGTGTTGACCCAACTGAAAGAAACTCAGTCCAAAGAGCATCCGTTCAGTCATTAAGAGGTGCACAGAGGGTGTCCCGCACGGGCAGGTAAGACCTTCCAGTTTTCTACAAGTCCTTTCACATAAACTTAGTGATTAGTACTTTGTCGTTTGTACCTGATACTAGAGGCAGTTTACAAAGAGAAAGCTTTGACTTTATAATTTATTGGATTACATGGGTGTACACCCAGTGTGTTTTGTTTGTTAGCCCTCTTTGGAGAAGCAGAGGCCATCATGAGGGTGTGACTGTAAAACGTTAAGGTTTATTTAAATGAAACAAAAAGACACTCAAATGTATTTAACAGTATAGAAGTACAGTACGAGGACAGAAGGGAAATATGGGCCAGATCAGACAGTTTCTAGATTCGTAGGAGCCAAGAGTGTCTGACAACAGAGGACTTTTACACCGTAGGTGTAGAAAACAAAATTGCATTTATTAACAATTATTAAAGTTTAGCAGTTTGTGCACATTCAACAAAAGTAGAACACGCTTCTTGAAAACAAAATAAGACCCAAGCTTGTATTGTCTTTTGTGTCCTTTTTTAAGTCAATTTCAGTCCGTCAATGTTCAATAGTCACTCCAGTTGGGTTACAATCTACCAGTTCATCTGTCTAATTGGACTGGGGCTCGCCATCCAGTACTGGAAAAGGGATCATCGATTCTTCTAAGGTCCTCAAAACCAATCCATTCAAAATAAGCAAAGGAAAAAAAAACCTGGGGACCAGGTCAGAACACAGTAGTTCAACATTTAAGCGATAAGGTCTATAACTTATTATTACTACTAACTGCTTTTAGTGGTTCTAAATTTCTTTAAAATTATTCTATGTTGTACAGCAAGTTTATTCTAATTTCCAAAGGAAAAAAGTGCATAGGAAACACACATTTAGAACAATACAAAATAGCTCAGCAGTGCATTAGAAATACACATTGGCTTAAGATTTATAAAGTTCCAGCTAAGTAAAGTGTGTGTGAAGGCACTTAATTTCACACTGCTAATACTTAGTGTGCAGAACCATAACTAGGAC